CCTGCAGCATATGCAGGGAGTTCTGTAGATCCCGTGTTGCCTTCTCCATTTGGAAGGAAAAGCTTTTGTGAGTAGCTGACTTCTTTTTGCCTAAACCAATCTTCATGTCATCCTTGTGTCTGGCTTCTCTTCATCAGCTGTACCCTAGCTGCAGCTCTCCTCTCCTTCATTTACTGCTTATAAAGAAGATCTTAGATTTATTCCTACAGTTGGCTAGTGAGGGAAGTACCTTTAGAGAACTGTGAGTGAATCATCTCTTTATTACTGTACCTGTAAGTAAGATCTCATAAAAATCTAGACAAATCCCAATCTTTGGAAGATTCAAAATACTTTGAATGGTATGCTTTCTCTCTTTGTGATGGGTTGACCTTGGCTGGATGCCAGGTGCCCACCAAGCCACTCTATCACTCACTTCCTTGGCAGGACAGGGTGAGATGGGGAGAAAATATGATTAAAATACTTCTGGGTCTAGATAAAGGGAGTTTAATAAAGCAAAAGCGAAGACTGCTTGCAGAGGAAAAAGAAAACAGAAGATGTATTTTCCACTTCCCATCAGCAGGTGATGTCCAACCACTTCCCAGGAAGTAGGGCTGCAGTACCTGCAGTAGTTGCTCTGGAAGAGAAATGTCGTAATAACTAATGTCCCCCCTGCCTCCTCCTTTCTCTTGGCTTTTATGGCTGAGCAGATGTCGTATGGTATGGGGTATCCCTTTGGTCAGTTTGGGTCAGTTGTCCTGGCAGTGTCCCCTCCCAAGACCTTGCCCACCCCCAGCCTGCTGGTGGGGAGGAACGTTGGAGAGACAGCCTTGATGGTGTGCCAGCACTGCTCAGCAGCAGTCACAGCACTGGTGTGCCACCAGCACCTTTCTGGCTACTGTTACAAAGCACCGTGAGGGCTGCTGTGGGGAGGAGGAGCACCATCTCAGCCACACCCAGTGCACTCCTGCAGTGTAAATCTGGGTGTGTTGGAAGAACCCTTTGTGCTGCATACAGATGGTCTGCTGCTTATTCCCAGGCTTTGCCCTTTTCCTTCCCTGTGTCCAGAGAGGATGGGAAATATGGCGACTCAAAAACTCTCTCTCAGGACAGCAGACCTGGATCTTCTCTGTTGTTCTTAATGTATTTTTCTTTTCTGGAAAAGGAAAGGATCATTCTTGCATGTTGCTGGGGAAATATGGATGGTGAGGAGAAAATGAAATGATCCTTGGGGATTTTTAGTCTGTCTAAGGCTTTTCACTGGAGTCTTCTGTATTTGGTGACATAAATTAAACTTGGCAATTTGTCTTCTGCACTTGCTCTGCTATTAACTCTTCATGTCCCTGTGTGGATAACAGTCTTCTGTGCCAGCTAACCTTCTCTCCATGTATTGCCCAGTTTACTGGTAGTGAGACAAAACAGTTGAGCAGACGTGGGAGGCTGACAGGAGCACACTGTCAGGCCTCTTGCTGAGGATGGGTTAGGAGACATTGGACGCAAGAGGATGATGGATGAAGGGTGGAGTGGCTGAGGGAACAACATTGAAAAAGCTGTGTCATCTCACCAGCTCCAAAAGTAAAGCCCAGAAAGCCAGGAGCAGGCTTCTGAGAGGTGCTGAGCCTATCCTGATGTCTCTCAGCAGGACCCTTCTGGCAGCTCCTGTTCCATCTGCCCTGCTCGGAGAGGAGAGGGAGCCAAGCAAAGCCTGGGCAGAGGGAAGTGCTGACCCACCAGATTCCTCTGGTGCTCCCCCAGCTCATGCTGTAGCATTCCCTTGACAGCATACTCTACTCTGCCCATCAGAGAAGAACCATGCCTTCAGGAACTGCTCTAGAACTATTGTCACTTGAAATAAAATACTGCTTTAAAAATTCTCCACAAATCTTTGTGTTTTATCAAACTGAGCCTTTAAAGACAAGGTGACATGTTCACTATACTCTATAAAAATGTCTACTTGATTGTAACCATGCTACTTCAAATAATATTGGCATTTGCTTGCATTAGGAAAATAATGCTTTATTGGAGTATTTACCATATATATATTTTTTAGCTGCTTCCACTCTATTCTGTCTTTCCCATTTTCACTCATCATTCTCTCATAGCTCTCCTATTTTACCTTCATTTGTCTGCAGGTATTTTCCTTCTTTTTACCTTTCCACCTTTCAGACAGCCATCCAGAGTTACAGTGATGACTCGTCTGCTTTTGAACCATGGGGAAGTTCCCTGGGTGCTGTAAGCCCAGAAGTCAGGAATCCTTGTTTGGTTTTGCATTTGTTTCTCCTCCTCCTCCCTGCCACTGCCTTTGCTAGTGACTTCCTTTCTGTGTCTTGGTGTCCCTGTCAGATTGCAATGAGAAGCAATTAAGTTTTGAGTGCCTATGAAATTTCATTTATAGCCTTGGACTGTGAAACCTCTGTTACTGGCAAGTAAGTCTTACTTGTTACTGGAAAGGTCATGTATGAAGGCAGGTCATTGCCCACCAGGATGGTTTGAGGTTCCTGTGCCTATTCAAAACAGTCAGAAGCAGGAAGCAGAAATCTTATGTCTGCTAAAAACACTAAATCTTTGCTCAAAATTTGAGGGCGAAATTCTTGAAGATTTTATTAAAGCTTTGTATTTTGTTCTCCTCCTATGGGTTCTCAAGCCTAAAGCAGTTGTGGTTTTCCTTCTGTTGGAAAAACTGGATGGATGCTGCTGGTTTCCTCAGTCACTCCATTATGTTCCTGACCTAGTAATAAAGTTCATTGTTTTCCTAGTCTTAAAGCTGTGTATGTCTCACAAATGGAGTGCTGTGTTTCTAAATGAATGTTTATTTAAATATTGACTCGCATTCAGAGATTTCAGAATTAGTACAGAGAAGCTAAGCATGATGTTTTTTTTACACTTGGAAATATTAAGAGTTAGCGATAGTGTCAGAGTCCACTGGTTTGTAAAAGTGCTTTGTTTTGCAGCTGTTGCATAACATTGACACTAGCAGGTATCTCTACAAAAGTGTACAGTTGGGCTTATAATTTTGAAAATCTGGACAACAGTGAAATTCTGATTGTCAGTTGTCATTTAAAATTATATTGGACGTATCCACTGTAATGCTAACAGCTTTTATGGGGGGCAAGTGGGTTGCTGTTGTCTTAGCAAATACATAAAGGTGGGAAGTGTAGTCAGTGAAGGAAAAGTGAGAGATTTAGGCTTTGTTTCTTTTTTTTTTTTTTAATAAAAAAGGAAATCTCTTTCTGTTAAACTCAGCGTATTATTCCCTCATGTTTGTTTGTTTATTTCAGGAATTTGAAGCTTTTCAAACATTTGTGGAAAATCGACTTCCATTTGATATTGTTATTGATGGACTCAATGTTTCCCACATAAAACCCAGAAAGATGCAGTGTGAAAATGTAAGTGCTGGTTAAATATTCATTAAGAGTTTTGTCTCTGCTGATCGTAAAACAGTGAGTGCCTCGTTATCACTTATCCTTTTGAAAAACTGATTAAACATTTTTGTTGCACATGTTGCAGTGAAGTTCAAGGAGTTTTCTAGACTTCACGAAAGTGATCAGTGGGGAGATGGTTGTTCTTACGTATTTGACTGTATTAGCTGTAAAAAGTCATACCTAAATTTCCTTATGTATGCAGTGCTCATAGTTAGAGCTAAGATATCAATAATAATGTTATTAGGACACGTACTGTGTGAGGGTGTGTTTTCATAGTAATAGGGATTTGGGGAACAGAGTCAATATATTGGATAGAAAATTGAAGCTAAGAGAGTCATGCTGGTGAGAGTTCTCCTTAAAATAACGCCTTACTTAGTTCAAACCACATCCTGTACAAGTTTAAACTTTATTTCATTCCCTATTGCCTTAAGCATTTGAGTCCTGTTCTTACAGAGGAAGCTCAAGCTGGCTATAGTTCTTTCTGCTTGGTAATTTGAAGAAGAATAAGCCTGTTTTTTCACCAGTACCTATTTTTGAGAATTCTTGGTACTCCCTTGTAGCATTTCACTAAGAAATGGCTTAAGGTTTGCAGTTTTTTTATTTTTGTCAATCAAATAATTACTTTAAATTAGAAATAATGAAGTAGCTGCTCCCTTATATTCCAAAGCAAGAATTTAAATTTTCACGCTCTTGAAATTAAAACTAAGTTATAAATGAGCTTAATTACTGGAAGTGAAGAACATAATTTGTTATTACAAGAAATAAATTTTGGTCCTAAGAACTAGTTTTAAATTATTTGCAAGAAGCAGGATATGCTTTCAGATACGTATATAAGCAGCTGAGCTAGGAAGGTTAGATAAACTTCCTGAAAGGTGTTTGTATGAGAGTGGCAGTGAAGTTTCATGAGATACTGGCTCATGAAGAGGGTACTTTCCTTACCATGAAAATAGAAAAGGAAGTTTGCATGTTCTCTGGATAGGATAAGAGAGGAAATGTTTGTTATCTGAGAAGAATCCCAGGCAGCATGTAGTGGTACCACGTTTTAAGATCTGGAGAGATAGATCTGTGCTGCCAAAGAAGGGGAAGATAAGTTAATGTCCTTCCTCTGTACATGCTTGTCCCAGTTTGAGAACTCTGAGCAGGATCCAGAACGGTCTTTAAGAGCTGGAGGCAATAGAGCAAAGAGCCAACTTGGTTTTGATAGGTAGTTACTGCTTATTTCTGCTAGGGAATCTTACGAGGAGCTGAACAGCATAAACTGCCTTTGAGTTCCTCATTAGCTTCTATATTGGAGGGACTTTGGGAACCATCATGTCAGGGAGCTCCAGAGGGACTGTATGGAGGTATCAGCTTTCCGTTTAGGTTGTTCCACATATGTACAGATCAGATCTCTCTTGAATCTGAGGTGTTTACAGATTAGGAGGATTTTTAGGAAGATCTGCCTTTCTGTCCTGCCCAACAGAATGGTAACTTGGACTCACCCTTCTTACCTCCAGAGGAAGATTCTCTTAGCTAAAATTTACTTGTTTTATGAATTATGTTGCTGTTACTTATTATTGCATTTTGTAATGCACAAAAAATATTAATCATTGGAGTTTCTGCCAGCTAATCTTTTGCTGCTCCTGTTAGCTGAACCCTGTCTTTGAGAGTGTGGCCTCATTATGTGAAATAGGATGGACATGCCCATTAGTTCTGCCTTTCACCTGTAGATATTCACTGGTTGGTTAGTGCTTTTTTTGGCTTGGGGAGTGTATATTTGCACTCTAAGCAACAAAATACCTCCTTCACTGCCCAGAAGAAATACTCTTATGGACCCCATGAACTACTGAAGACTTTTTCATGTATTGAGCCTCTCTGTTCATTGAAATACTTTAAAATTATTTTTTATGATAGGTGTCTTTATAGATGATTACAGTATTGTAACATGTCAGGAAAGGACTGTCTCTTTGTTCTTATTTTGGATACTTCTGAAACCAGAAAAAAAACAAAAACAACAAAAAAAAAAGAAAACAAAAACAAACAAACAAACAAACAAACAAAAAAACCACAACACACACACACCCACAAACAAACAAAAAAACCCAACCTGCAAAGCAGAGCAATCGTTTCTTATATCTCCAAACTTTTCTTCCATATGAGGGAAGGGAAGGTCACAGGAATCTCTGCATGTGTTGCTTTCCTGGTTACTGGTGTTGCTGCCAGGTAGTCCCCCATCTGTGAATGCTGACCTCGCTGAAGGCTGTAGTCAGTCCTTTGAGGGCTGACTCTGGAAGAAGCACCCTCTTTTGGAAGCTGCTATCCTCACACCAGAGCAACTGGATGGAAAATGTGGAGTGGCAGGTCTGGGGCATTCACAGCCTGACTTACTAAACTCTTCAGTGTACAGAGGGAAACACAGTGCAGAACTGTGAAGGTGGAGAGGAGAAATACATGCAAGAGGAGTTGGAGGCAGAACACAAAGGATGGAAGCAGCTAAGGAGGAAGGCTGCTGAGGTCAGGCTGGCTGGGACAGGGTGACTGGCCTATTTTGGACGGGCATACTGTGACTCTTTGGTGACCTCTTCTGCTCAGCTTGGGAGATGATAAAGGAGCAGTATTTCCAAAGGCCTGTTTTTAAAGCTACTCAGCCTGTGTTTTACTTCTCAAAAAGCAATACTTTAAGTTTCCAGGTGGGAGTCAGTCTGTGCTCTTTGCCAGGGTTCATGACTGCAGCTGTTAGACCCAGTTAGGGCATTGTTTTATAAACTATTTTGTTCCAGTATATAGCTAATATGCAGTGATAGTTGAAAGAGAAAATTAGATTGTCATTCTCCATTTACAACACACTGTGAGTGTTACTATGTGCAAATTGTTAGGTTTTTTGAACCACACCCCTTGTGTGATTTGGAGAGAATAGTGAAATAAAGGCCATTGTTAAACACAGGAGAAGGCCTAAGGTTTATGTGACAATAATACGATGATTTAAATGCATTCTGGTCTTTATTTAAATGTAGCAGAAAATACTTTTCTGCTTTAATTTATCTTTAAGAACTGCAGATGTTTTGCTGAGAACCAAATCTAGCTAACTCTTAGTCATATGATTACAACAAGAATAAGTTGATAAAATATTCCTTTTTTGAAACATCCTAAGATTTGTATTCTATTTAGGCATTCCTTAAGCATCTTGGGAAGGGACTGGGTTGTGTGGACGAGTCGTGAGTACCTTGGAAGGCAAGAAGAGAAAGAGGAAAAAAAGCAGAAGTCAAAGGAATAATGTCTAATTCGCAAAGTGTTCTGACACTCTGGAAAATTAGTAGCTGCAGGCAACTTCAGCCCTCACAGCCAGCACTTAGTTAGCAGATCATCGTGAAAAGTATTGATTTGGCAGATTTACGGGAATATTCTGTGGCAATTTCTCTAGTATATGATGCTGTTGGTTTGTAATTACAATTCCCCCCTTTCTTCCAGGTCAGTTTTCTACTAGGTCTGTTTCCTGGTACAAATTGCCAAGTGGTGGCATCAATGGCTGACAGAAAGTGGAGTTAGTGTGAGGTTGTGAACAAAGATTTTTGAGGGCGAGGAAATGTTGAAATGTTCTGATCTGAAGGCACTGCACACACAGTGACTGTAAAACTGCAACACTGGGTGTTAGCCAGCGCCTCTTTTCTACCCTTTTCTTCCTTACTATAGCATTTTAAATTAGACATTACAGTTAACTCCTAATTAAAAGATAATATAGAATGGGAATTATTTTTATTATATAGTCCAAACAATAGAAACAAACTCCCATGAAGTCTAAAATCATTGACTCGTCTTTCTACAGGTTTTTTTTTGCATTCTACTGCTGTTTGAGGCTGTATCTCTTGAACATGTGCCTTGATGAGTCAGTCACTGTTTGTACTGCAAATACGGTAGTTTATAAACTGAGATATCCTTACAGGTTAAGCAATGTTGATTCAGGCTGTATCATGATTTTGAGTTACTCCTTTCCTCCAGATGTATCTAATTACATAAATCCCTAACTAGCACAATGACATTTGGTACTCCCTGTCCTCTGCTGCCGTAACTCTCTTGTAGGGCCTCTACGTTTCACCTTGTAAAGGTCAAGAGAGGGAATTTCCACACGCTAGTTGTCCGGTTGTCTTGTTCAGAATTATGTAACAGTTTGTGTTTAAATACATTTTCTTCCTGTTTATCACAATTTTCTGTAGACGTATTCCTTGGAAGTGAGGGGTAATCCAAGTGCCAGCAGGATATCTCGTCTCTGGAGCATCTAGCTTTGTTTGTGGGGGAGGAGTGAAGGACCTACAATGAGCTGTGGTCCTGCTGCCCCTAGACTGTGGAGGGACGGGGTGGGCAGTGAAGGAGCACGATCAGCAAATGCAGTTTAAAGAGTACTTTGCTATTTTTAATTTACGTTGAGATTGGTGTATGGTATATGAGGTATGCAGCCAGCTCCTTTTTTAGCTGTATCCAGCTGGTGTTAGACATAACAGAATATATATTTCAAACGTGTGTTGGATCAAAGCAAACTCGTAACTCCCGTCTTCAAACAGTTTGGCAGTTGGGGTCAGCTCTGCCCTGACTTTACCCTCTCTAATCTCTGTATTAAACTCAGACATCTAAAAAATCAGTAAAATAGTTCCAGATTGAGTTCCTTAAGGCTGACAATGCACAAGGGAGTAGTTTTTGCTCTTGGCAGACAGTTCAAAGTGGTTGCTCCCAAACTTAATCAGCATCTCTATAAATAGACTACATAGGTTCATATAATTCCCATGTAAATTGCAGTAGGGCTGTACAGCAGCTGACAAAGTCAGATCCTTGATCTTCCACTCCCCTCCCATCCCAATCTGGTGGCAGCAGTTGGCATGCCACCCTTGCCACACCTCTCACCTGCTGCAGCAGTCACTCCTGCCCTGCTGTGGCTGCTGTAGTAGGAGGTGCTCTGACAGCCGGAGGGAACAGGACACGCCTTGCAGCTATTT